GTCAAAGCTCCACCTCGGTGTCCAGTAAAACCATTGTGTCTGCACTACCAAACATTTCCACTGCACGGGCCGGTGATCTAGCATCAACTGTTGTTGGTACATCAGGTTTAAGTACCGTACCGGCCCTTTTTTCACCTATGGTAACCAGTGCTCCTGCTTCCTGCAATTCGCAGTCTCCAATTCGGCTAGCTGCAGGCTCAGCCATGCAGGCCGACGCCCCATCCGCCATTTTGCCCGCCGGCACCCACCTCTTATCGACACCTCCGTTATCTGCAACCGTTCCCTTGTCCAGTCCCGTCAAGCCAGTTCCTGCACTGATAGCCTCGGCTGCCGCTCCCCTGGCAGCAGGCACACCTCTGCATTCTTCTGTTACTCAGCATACGGTTTCCGTGACAGCCCCAGACCAAGGATTAAAACCTCCGCAGTCAGGAGTTAGAATGGCTGCTCCCTCCGCAGCACCGTCACAGACCGTACTTCAGGCAGGACAAGGTCACAGGGTCAGAAAACACGCTCCTGTCGTCATGCAGATGCTGCTTTCAGGCACTCCTCCGACAGTGGCTGCTCCTCCAATTGTAAATCTGGTATCAAGGATTCAGACTCTTCCTGTGGCAACGGTCCCACCAATCGGCACCACCGCTAGGACGTTTGAAACGGTACCAGTTGGGACTACACCTTCATCTAGCAGCGATTTAGTCCGAACTCCAGCCCAACCAATCTCATCAAACAACAGCACACACCCAGCTGTCGTTTCGACCGATCAGACTTTCGACCGGACGTCAACTTCGGGCATTCAAACCAGTGTAGCATCCAAGCTACTGATTAGTCCTGATGGTGCTGTTTTGAGCACCGCTCAGCGCCAGGTCAGTCCGGCCGAGGTGACGACCTGTTCCAAACCTACGGGTGTACTCGTGGTTTCCTCCAGCAGCTCAAGTGGAACATTGAACACCCACGATTCCTCTCTACAACATTCGTGGGCAAAGTAGAACCTGGTGGTATGCGTTGCTAGTAGTTGATCTTGGAATTAGTCAGAGTTCTTTGTGTTTTTACAGAAAGTTGGTTGATTTTTTTTTTTTTTTTTGTCTGACTTTTAGGATGGAGTAAGTTCTGTTCTCTGGTTAGGTTGGTCCTCTAATAGAGAAACTGTGTACTCACACGTATAAGGTAATCAGTCTATGGTTTGTTGCCTTCAAATAAATGTGTCGACTATTTCTGATTTCATGGCCAGTATTGAAATAAAAAACCTCAAATACAGAAAATGGTTTGAGAAATGAGATTGAATAAATTGTAATAAGTTCCAATGCAGTTCAATATCGTAATAATCCTGGGATACTGTTCATTCAGATTCAACCTGTTCTAAAGCTTTTGTTTAAATGTTCAGCACTTAGAATTTTTTTTCAGCGTGTAACTGAGAGCTACGTTTTACCATTTTGAAGTATAAATAGAGGATTTGTACTATGTGTTTGTGTCCATTTAAAGTTTCAGTTATTTATTTTTACCATATAGATTTTTCAAAACTATTTACTTAGTTACACTTTCCTTGAACAAATGTGGACGTTGGACATTTCTGCATGGAAATAAACAATGCGACTGTCCAACCAAAGTTGGTCTTTGAACTTATTTATTATACACAGACAGATTTTGATTTTTTTTTATCAATGAATACATTGTATTTACAGTTTGTTTGTATGAATGATAAACACAGCGAGACATTTTAAATCAATTTATATTTAGCGTCAAAGCCATAGGAAGCAGCTACAGTGACGTCAGGTTATACGGATGATTTTCTGAGACAGCAGATGAACGTTTGAATATTTGTTATTGACTTATTGACTTGTTATTGTTTCTTCAGACTTTTTCACAGGTCCATCAAGGAGAATAGGGAGGAGGAAGTGGACCTGAGGAAATCTTTTCATAGGCTGGGGGAGCGTTGGGAACCTGGAGAAGGCAGAATTGATTTATTAGTAAAAAAAAAACAGTCTTAACTTTTGAATTATTATTTCATTATTGGCCTAGAAAAGGGGGCATGTCCATTGTTTTAATAGGTCATTGTATCAAGTTGTATCAAATCAAAGAAGAAGAAGAAGAAAAAGGAGGAATTGTGTTCTCAAGCCCAACAATCAACCCCCGTCTTTTCAGCTCGGCAGCAAATACCTCCTCTGGGAATAAAAGGTTTTAAATACCAAACCCAGGTCTGGTGACACAGTAATCTCTGCTTCAGGCATCTGTTGACATCATTTTACACTCTATTCACAGTATTCCTTCCCCTCGGGTGAGGAACAAGTTTTCCTAAGCATACAAACCCTCAGTAGCCCAGACTCAGTTTCAAATATTGGTTTGCATTTTGTTTTAAATCTTCACGCGGCTGATCGTAGTCTGGGTGAGTCGTCTGTGGGTTTTGTTTTATTGTGAGTTGTGGCTGCATAATAGGAAGTTATGGGACAAGTTTGAAGATTGATAGATAGAAATGAGGATTCTCTATCTCTCGCTCTATATCTATACACTATATATACTGTATATACATGTGTACATATATAAAAATATATATGTACGTATATGCATATATGTATTTATATATTTATAAATGATGATTATATCTTGCTCTATATGCATTATATTTACTGTACACATATATTTATACATATATACTTATATAAAATATATATGTACATCTATACATATATATATTTATATATGAGGATTCTCTATTTCTTTCTACTATTTATATATGAGGATTCTCTATTTCTCGCTCTATATACTGTATATCTGTTTATACATATATACTTATATGAAATATATATGTACATATGCGTGTTTATGTATTTATATATATTTATAAAGTGGTGACTTTAATCCTTCAAACATTATTTAGCGTCAGGGAGACAACAGAGCAGATCCAACACAGTCTGACTCACTGCTGAAATCAACATTTATATACTGTATTTACCAATTTAAAATGTTTTACCTTTATATAGGCTACTCACACCCGGCTTGATAAATATCTTACCGAAGGTCGGAAGCTGCCAAAGTCGGTGAGAGGCATCTTGTTGTCCGCTGAAGGTCCCGCCTCGGCGTACTGACCTCCGGTGAAACCCGGTGATCTCGACCCAGGACTCTGTTCAAGAGAAAGACGTGTTAGTGGGGAACAACAAACAAACAAACAAAAAACCTATAACACTATTTCGGTAAAAGGAAAAGTCATTCGTATTAACCCTGAGAATTTTGTAGCCACTCCTCTTCTTGAAGTACCAGCAGCCCAGGATGAGCAGAGCTGCCAGGATGACCACCAGGAGACCAATGCCCAGAGCCCTGGATGGAACAGAGACGGGACAGACGATAGACCGGTCGCCTACACACCTTCACCAATGTCGCTACTTTTTCTAGTAATAACTGTGAAGGAAACAAACAAACGGACACCTACTCCTCAGCTCTGACGTATCCTCCTCGGCTGCTGGCAAAATAGATGTTGAAGTCTCCGCGGGGCATTCTGTCAGTGTGATTACAGCGCATCAAGCTGAAACACAGCAGAAAAGGCAGGTGGGATGTAACAACACGGTGACTTCTTCAGTTTGATTCATAGGGCTGTGTTCACGCACTCTGAAGAATCCAAGAAATCAAATCTAAGACAACCAGTTAGATATACTGATTCAAAACAAATAAAAAATGTAAAGATACAAGTCAGTTTCCATCACTTGTTGCACACGTCAAGAATCAACTCATCTTCTCGTTGCTCCACAGGAACCAAAATAAGATTAGACAATAACAACATATTATTTTATTACAGGACAAATTCCACAATGAAAAAAAAAATTGACTTCAATCTTCAATTCCTAAATACGGTCACTGGAAGAAGAAAGAAAGAGAAGAAACCACAATCTTACCAAATTGGATAATTCGATTTTCCGCAGCTCTTCTGGTTGGGATGATTCAAAAAATCACAAGTCTGCCTCCACCGAGCTCTTATTTGGTTCTCTCCTCCTCAAATACGCTGCCTGTGACTCGGTGCTGCAGGAGGGAAAAAACCCTCATGATTGTCACGGGTTAGAGGCTCATGTTTAAATCCATTGAAGCGGCGTAATTACCGTGAAACCCCGCGGCCCTGAGACGTAACTGCCGCGGACGCAGGCGTCAGATGTTGGCTGATCATCATCATAATAAACTCGGTGTGTGTGTGATGTGAGATTTTTGGTTCATTACCCTTTTTTTCTTTTTTTTTTTTGGACGATGTTTTTCGGCCCAAACTTGTCCGGATGTGGCAGAACCTTAGCCATAAATTAGTCATTTACACTACAACTTCACCACTAATTAATTTATTCTTTTTTTTAAGTATTTACTATGTTTTACACTGCAATAGTTGACAATACATCAATGACTATGGAAAACAGAGACAAAATACACATGAAAGATGTATTCTTGAAGAAAACGTTTATTCAGGAAAAAAAGTATTTCCTATAAATCCTTGGTTGAATGTATGACCTCCATGGAATGTTTGACGATATATATCGAAATCTAAAAGAACTCCACACCTATTGTGAAACATGGTGGTATCTTTTAGGAAAATAGTGCAACCACATTCATTGTTTTTTTTTTAATTTCCTTCCAATTGTTGCTTTTTAAGTGGAATATATACAGGTGACAACTCTCAGTCTCCCTTAACCATCTTGACAAAATAGTTTTACATTACCATATATGGCATTTGTGAAAGCGTGTACATCCGCCAGTGTTTCTAGTCTGAGTCGTGACCTGAACGTGGGTTGTAAAGCTAAATGTTGAGGGAAACTACCAGGGAAAAATGTTATTTTTTTCTTTGTTTGTTCAACAAGATTTACACACAGTTCACGACTTTATTTCTCCATGTGTCTCACGTTTTCAAGATTTACTTTGCACTGAAGGCTATAATTAAAAACATGTAATTATAGCTTGACGCGATATACTATCACACAGTAACTAATTCCTATATAAATATATTCTTATGTTATATCTTACATTTTCGTCTATAAGCTGGGGTTTCTAGTGTTGTTTGTTGAATGGAATCTTTCTAGGATTTACTTTTGGGCTTAACTGCAATACAAGTAGAGTCGCACGTGAAGGCACTGAAATAAAACAGAAAAAGAGGCGAGAAAGACCCAGACAGAATGTTTTATTTTTCTCCACCAGAGGGAGACATGCCAATGTTAGTGAAGTTGAACAACCCCGGACGTGTCTCCGGTTGTATTTAGGAGTTAAATAACAAAGTAATGAATAAGAGATTAAAACTACATGTGAACAAATTTAACCCGAATATAAACAAACTACACATTTTGTGCTGCGGAAATTTAACCGAACGACTTTTACAGGTTTTAGTCCGGGACAGAGAGCTGATCACTTGACCGTGTGTCACATGTTCGAAGTGCTGTTAAATCAACAAGAACTTTTTCAAAGTAAATAACACCTGATCAGATGAATCTACCGAAAGAGGATCACGTGTCTATAAAGAAACGGTGACGAGATATACTGTTCACGGACACGGATATTCACCACCATAAAAACACTGAATAACAAAGACATTAATTAGGGTTCGACCGGAAGTTCAACCTTCATCTAGGTGGAAGGCAGTTTTCTAACGTATCACAGTACTGTATGTATATACACAAGTCGATCCATGTTCACAATTTTGGGTTTTCTTGTTACAAATTGTTGTAATCAAGTTAGTACAAATGTGTTTTGTTTGCTTCAATTTTCGCTCTGTTTTTCAAAATAAAATCTCTCTGAATTTAGAGTGAGGATGCAAGAGTGAGTGTGGTAGAGAGAGTGTGCATCTGACGATACACCACTATGGTACATTCATCCTGTTTGGTCGGGTTTTCTAGGTAAAAACAGTCCGTTTTCAGTACGTGTGGGTCTTATTCTATTTTCTTGCGATTAAATTGCTTAGTTTAGTTTGTCAAAACAAACAAACAAAAAAAAACTAATTACAATATCTTGGTCCCTTTTTTCTTCTTCTTTTTTTTAAAAGAGTAGCACCTTAATTAAACTGGTATTTGTAGTAGTTAGTATTTCTGGCTAATTGCCAATTTTAAAAATATCAATAGTGATATTTTGTACACATAACAGGTCAAAACGACGTAAACTCCACCAACTCTTTTTTTTTTCTCTTTCCAAACACCTGGGTTTTTCCAACGCTGTGCTCGGAGGAGCTGTTCGAACAGCAGGACGGAGAGGGAGCTAGAGGCTCCTCTCTTCTCTTCCCCAGCCCCAGCTCCAGCTCCAGCTGCCATCCGACTGCTGCTCCTCCCCCTCCTCCTCCCCCTCCTCCACCTCCTCCTCCTCCTTCTCCTTCTTCACCAGAACCACTTCTCTTTCTCATCACATCCAAAGGTAAATAAGCCAGATTCAACATTACCGACCTGCCCTCGCGTAGTCTAATTCACCTTCCCGGTCGTTCGCCGCTCACTGGGACACAGCAGGCCACCGCTGGGAACCGTCACCGGGAACAGACAGGGGGGTAAAATCTGATTTGTGATGGAGTCTTTGCTGCTTTGTACCCTGCTGCCTCCCTGGCGTCGGGTCGGGGTTACGCTTCCTTAGGCAAGTCCGAGGTCCACTTTGTGAACCGGAGATGTTTCGGCGAAGGCCATAGCGAGTGGAAGGTGAATATAATAATAAAAAAAACACGTAAAAGACATAGTCGGCAGCTGGCGGTTTAAAGGGAAATTGATGCGCTCCCGGTGATGCTAGCTGAGGCAACTTAGACATAACCGAGCCAGTTAGCATAGGCTAGCTGTGTCTGCAGTTGTTGCTAACCGGCTAACAACCACTCAATTCCAGTCACTTTCACCAAAGCGTACGTTACAACGGCAGGGCATGTGTAATACGCTGTAGTAGAGGTTAACAATGAGTAATAATACAGTCATTACAAGTGAGAGAACGAACAAACGTTGTTGTGCTTTGGTCGCCTGCGGGGACCTTAATTGACACCGTAACAAAAGATATATATATATTTTTTTACGATGTGACGAGTTCAACGGTTGCATAAATAACGTCTTTTGTTTTGGGGTTAAAAGTGTATTCGGTGCTCGCGAGAAACACCCAGGTAAGATAACGTTAGGTCTGGATCCAAACTACGGGGCTCAGTACACAGGGTGGTCACCTTTTTCACACAATTAGTATTACTTTATTTATTTGTGTTCTGTGCTCTGTATCCTCCAACACTTTTGAAGTGTGTGTGTGTGTGTGGGGGGGGGAGGTCTTCGGGCAGTGTTAGCATTTAGCCAACGACCACTGGCTTTGTTACATTTTAAAGTATTTCACGAGAGAAATAGCACCGAGTCCGTCAAAGCAATCCAACGAAACTTAAGTTAATACAAATAGTACACACTGAAGCTAGGTGCTGCATACAAGCTAACGTTAACGTTAACTTTTAAAAAAAGGCACCTTTACTGTAGTACTGTTAGAGTAGAAATTCATCTACTACTAAATAATAACTGACTTATATTTGTTGACAAATAATTTTTAAGACCAACAGAGAGTTTAAATATGCTTAAAAACAACATAACATAAAGTTAGCCTTGTCCAGTCTCTTGTTTTACATACTGTATGAAGAAAACAAGCCTGTATAGCTTGTTTTATTTATTCATATTCTGTCAATTACTTTAAGTTAGCATTACTTGTTTAGTCCAGATTATATCCAAAACCTTGGATTAGAGGTCTGGGGCTCCGTAGTTTTTCCATCCTTACAGTCAGATTAGATTATATGAGCCCTGATCAGTGTACATCAAAAAATATCAATCATTATATACAAATGTACCATTTACAACAATGATACTTAGAAAATAAACAAATAAGTAATTATTACTTCATCAGTTATATATTTAACACAAGTGAAAAAAAATATAGTTTTTGGTTTGTTTACATCATAAGATTGATGTTTCTTTGTTAAAAAGCAGGTTTAAAAAAATTCAAATTGGTGAAAATACCAATTGTTGCTCATTCCTCAGTAGTATAAATAATAAATTCTGTATAAAAACTGGACAGAGCCTTTCGTAGCCATTACTGCATCGTACGAAAAGGCAAAAAATGCTTGTTTTGGTTTATGATTTAACACAGTTTTGTCTGTTTGAATAATGACACTGTGTCTCAACTGGGATGCTAATGATTGTTTAATGGTGATTTATAACTTTAATAGTTGTTTCTCCTATGAAGTAAGTGGTCCCAATTGGTTGCTCCACTCGTAGAAGCTTTGCGTCCGTGACGGCGGTTATTGGTTTAATTTCATGACAGAATCAAACGCTTCCTTCCTTATTCCAAAACCCATGAGAAAATCTCATCCAATCTGTGTTTTTAAAGTCTGGTGCCCACAGACATTCATGCCCAGGAACAGATCCTCCTCCCCTGAGGTAATAACATGTTATGTACCCAGTGCAGTTGTGTATTTATAGTGGAAATGCCAAAGGAACAAGATGGTTTGGACACCAGAACCTTTAGATTTGGCACCAGAAGCTGCTCCAGATCAATAGCTTGTAAGTAAAGACATGCCCGGGCTTGCTATCAGGCCGTAGTCCGTCTACATCCGAGTGCAGTTTTGTTGGCAGGATATTACTGCGCACTCATGGGCTGACACAGATTTCAATTCTTCATCCCAAAAAAAGACACGCTGTAGGTACACGCACAGATCGCCCATACTCTTAATGATGACAGGATAACAGGAGCAGCGCTGTCTGTAATTGCTTTAGAAGTTTCTGTGTTTCTGTCTCCACAGAAGTTTGGAGATGTAAGGAATAAGAAGAGACTGGAGATACTGAGCAGCCTGTGCATCGACACGACTTCTTGACCTCATCTTCAGCATGAATGGTGATATGCCTCATGTCCCCATCACTACTCTTGCTGGAATTGCTAGCCTGACAGACCGTAAGTACAACATAAGCTGTTAACACGGCCAACCTTACCAACAAGATGGTCCAAAAATCATATCGCCATATTTTTAAAATCTTGATTAATTTTCTGGTATAAAATAGTAACCATAAATATTAAAACCACTTTATTTCCAAAATACACAGGGACTATATTTTCAAAGTAGTGTAGGGCTTTATACAAAGAAATGCACATGTAAATGCAAAAGAAAACATTAAAAACCATACTGGCATATATATGTATGTAATGAAAATACACTTCAAAATGAATGCCTTCAGTAAAACTGTAAGTGTAAACGGACGACTACAAAATATGTATAATAATGTCCCTACTGTAATAAGGAAGACTTTACTCCAGTTACACTGGGTCTGTTTGATCTGTTTGTCTCAGCTGCAAATAATTTAATACATAACAGTAAAACTGTAAGTGTAAACGGACGACTACAAAATACGTATAATAATGTCCCTACTGTAATAAGGAAGACTTTACTCCAGTTACACTGGGTCTGTTTGATCTGTTTGTCTCAGCCGCAAATAATTTAATACGTAACAATTAATAATAATAATTTGAACTTTATTGATCCCATATTTGGGAAATCCTTGTGTTAACAGCAGCTCTGCTGTTTCCAAGGCAGGCGTGCTGACCGCTACACCGTGGAATCGACCTCACCCCACCCACATTTACATACACATACACTCATAATTAAATGATCAAAACCCATCAATATAAACACAACATAATGTGGTGGGTGTTACAAAATTACGACACAGCCTAATATCATGGACAGAGACATAGTTTCCGGGGTCAAGAATTTCTGTTAACTTGATGAACTCGCTCCTGCTGAGGTGCCACTGTTTGTAACATTGTCCCTTTTTTCACTTAAAACGGACGTGGGTGGCTGCACCACTTTGACAAACTCTTACATCTCTACATCATTTTTGGGGCTGTTGCGAAAACAGACCTGTAGTTGCTTGATCTTTTGATTTGAACTGGTTACTGGCATCCTAGGTCAGTGGTCACCGACTTTTTTGGTACCAAGGAGCCAGACAGACAAAGAGAATAGAAAACTGGTGGTATTTGTAAATATTATTTGAGGGAAAGATTACATATATATCAACATACTGTATTTATAGAAAAAATATTTTTATATACACAGTATATTGACATATTGCCCCACCCAATGATAAAGACAACTTATTTTTGCATTGCAAAGGGTTCCCAAAGATTTAAAAAAAATATGAACATCATTTTCTAAATGAAACCTTAATTTGCAATAAATTGTTTCAAATCAGTTTTTTTTTTCTAAGCCTTGAATGCGAAGGTTTTCAGGATGTTAAGGATTTCATTTTTGTCTTGTGATAAACTGTGATTAAAACATTAATATTTTTTTTTGTATACTTAAGTGAAAGCCTCTTACAACACTTTTGCACTTTTTTTGCTTTTCGTTTTTTGTATACTTAAGTGAAAGCCTCTCACTTTTGCACTTTTTTTGCTTTTCAATTAAAACAGTGTTTACACCTAATGCAACTACATTTTTACATCTTTCAGTGTTGAACCAGTTGCCCCTGCCTTCTCCTCTGCCTGCTACCACCGCCAAGAGTCTGCTCTACAATGGAAGGATCTCCGAAGAGGTCAGCAACATCCTCGTGTGCCGGGATGAAAATCTGGTGACTCAGCTGGCACACAGCCTTAACCAGGTCTCCACCGAAAACATGTGAGTATTACTGGCCGGTGTGTGATGCCTACCAAGAGTTCGTGCTTCACAAATAATTGTGGTTTGTCAACAATGCAGTCCTAGTTTTTCCTGATAGGTTAGTTCCCTAAGTACCCAGCCCTTTTTTCTACCACAGTCTTAATGTAGTGTTATGAAAGACATAGGCTTTGTGGTCTGGTCTTCAAGGTGTGGTTGATAAATACAAATAAATACAAAAACAAAGACACAAAACCATAATGCTGAATACTACATGGTATGTGGAGCAGGTACAAAATATCTGTAATAGAATAAATGGGTGAATGTACTGTATATATAATCAATATTATATTGAAATAAAAGTGAAATTAGTCTGATGACGGAGCGGGAATTTTAATTAAGAAGTGTTTCTTCTACAGCACCGACGGAGTTTCAGCTCAGGTCCTGCTTCAGTTTTACTTTTACTTAGAACTGCTAACTGTTACTGCTATTTTTACACTGCAAAGTATGATTCAAATAATGGAACCAACCAACCAACTGTCTCAACTGTCACCTGTTGGTGATGCGCACATGCTTTTGTTGTGAAGGCTTAGCTGTTTGATGCTTTGAATGTGGAAAAAAAAAAAGCAGTAGACGAGCCCTTTAGAGTCGCAGCGACTGTTAAATGTCATCACACATCCAGCCAGTCTGTCTGTGTCTTCATCAATTAGTCCGCATGTTTTCATTCTTATCACCAGTCCACGCTCATTTAATAGCCATTATTGTTTTTTGTTTTGTTTTTTTCGATCAATTTTCCCAAAAAATACAGGAACAAACAAGCGAGGGCCGAGGGAAGTCTCACTAGTAGAGAAATAAAAAATTTAATATACGTGCATGGATTGCCAGACAGATGTTGACCCAATTGTGGCATGAATGAAGCCATGGCCATGAGCGGGCATTCATATTTAAACACAGCAGACGAAATGGAGAAAATTTTGCAATTTCGTCTGAAATGTGGAGGCTGAACAGTCTGGTCTTTGTCGTTTCAGAGAACTGAAGGACAACCTGGGTAACGATGAGCCCGAGGGTGACCTGCCAATCCTTCTCCAAACTCTGCTCTCCAGGAACCCCAAAATCTTCAGGGACAAAAGTAAGTGGAGCCGGAGCAGCTAGGTCACTGAAGCCCAGTCCAAGCTTATGTCCACTTTTACTAACACATTGCAGTGTTTTTTTTCTGGAACACATGCACCGTGTGTGTCTGGTTTCACCGCAGGCTGTGAGACCTGGTAAAATCTAGAATGTTTAAAATGTAACTTTCTACTTTTAAAATCTAGCCCGTCTAATGAAGTTATTAAAACTGCGCTGTTGAAATAGTTGTTTATATGGTGATTAATTATTCACATAGCAAGACGAGGCGTTTCTTTGGCAACAGAATTGACTCCGACAAGAGCAGTTGGCACCACAATGAGCCGTTGTTTACTTTTTGACAGGACTCCAAATAATTAAATAGGTTTTAATTTTTGGCAGATCATTTTTCCACTTTATATGTCATTATGAACAGATATGTGACTTCATCAAGAACAAACGTCGGTCTAGCGCTGTATTAAACCGCCCGCTGGAATACAGCCTCTCTGGACTGTAACTGTGACATTTGAAATGTCTGTGCGACATTGTGTTAGGGCTGAACAGTTTGTACGGTGTTGCCTTGTATTTTATGAATCATAAATATCAAGGCAGAAGGTCATTTCAAGTACAAATGATTAGAAACACCTTTTTTTTTGTTTTTACACATCAGTCATGGCAGGTGGTCAAGAGGAGAATTCCAAGTTATAGTTTAGTTATAGGAGCCATGGATGGGATTTTCTTCTGTTTAAGGTTTGTTTTGGTGTTGCATGTTTTGAGTAATTATTTAGTTTATGTTATTATTGGTTATTGGTAGGAGGTCACGTGATTATAGGTGGGATCCAGCACCTGCGTTCGCCTGTTGCTTTCTTTTCTTTGGGAGAGAGAGGAAGAGAGGGGGTGAGCTTGGGTTGCCATTTGTTTTGTTTTTTTTGTTGACCCCTAATTTCAGTTGTTATTCATCGATCGTTGGGAATGGTTTGATTTAGTAGTGCACTGTGCTATGACTAACCTTTTGTTGTTTGGTTTATAAATATTTTAATCCTCCTGAAATCTCAGTGAATTTTTTTTGATCCGTGCTCATTCTCAACCTCTCAGTGCTTTGAACATTAAAGTCGCTAAAGTAGCGTTACCACCCATTTTATAAAGTAATTACGAGTGTTGGTTAAGCCAATCTGAGGTCAAGATTTCGACTCCATCGAAGGGATGTTGACTTGTGCCACTAATGTTGACACGTCGACAAATGGATTTTCTATCACCCTCGTATGTATTTTTATACGTAGATATTTTCATATATGGACAAGATGCATGTAATTAAATTGCCTCTGTGACTGACTCATTTCTTTGACTCTGCCTTCATGTTTCACTGCCTATGTTTCAGGTGTAATGCAGCAGCCAATGGTACAACAGTATAAAATAAGCCAGAGTCAAATACATGGTAGTCCAGCATCAAATTATCAGCCGACTGCCGTCCCTCAAAGCCCCTCTGGGTAAGCTGTGACATCATACGAAAGAAATTAAGAGTAAATGTTGCGAAGCCCTTCTTTGACCACTGTTATCTTTGTCTTTTTTTTTTTACAGATGTTTTACATCGCCACAGCCAGGGTCAGCCACTCGCTTCACACCGCAGCAGAACAGCCCCATTCCTAGTCCATACACACCTCAGAGTCCTGCAGACTACATGCAGTACAACCCTCCAAGTTATAATCAACTCCAGCAGACTCCACAAGGTGAGTACAAAGACAAATTTAAAGAGATTTTTTTTTTTGGGAATACTCGTACACGTCATTTTGACCCTCACACACGTCATCAAAAAATGCCTCGTTGTGCTCCCTCGTTTTAGTTACCGCCACTGTAAGAACCAGTCATGAAAACAAAGTGTCGGGACAGCTATTAAGAAATTCATCAAATCACACAACAAGACAAGGCTCAAATGACGAATACATGAACATGTCTCACAGATTGGGGAATGAGGTAAAAAAAAACAACTAATTACTAAAAAAAAAACTAACTCATTTAAAAAAGTGGAGATACAGTAGTTGAGGGTAATTGATAAATGCCTTGTGTCCCCGCAGGATAACGGTTCCTCTGTGAGGGCTGCTGTATTTCCTATTAAATCACATCCACATGCTGTGTGTTCACCTGCTGGGAGTGAAGATGCTGGAAGAAGTATGTTGTCTTCACAGGAAGCTAATTTCAATGCTAGAGTTCGATTATCATAACCGGACCGAAGTCTTGACTGAAGTTTTCTTTTCTTCTGTTTTTGTGTTTCAGCAGGGTCACGGGTTTCCCTCATCAGACAGACACCGAGTGCAGCTCCAGACCTGCTGCTCACCTCACCCGACCGCAAAAAGAAGCAGCGACACCGAAGTAAAGAAGGAAATGACCACGCGGACAAAAACGTTTTGTACGACATTGTTGGTTCGCCGTCGAAAGACTCTTCCAGGCTGACTTTGAAACTGTCTCGAGTGAAGGCTTCAGACAACGATTCACTGGACAATAATTCTCCTGTGGCACATACGGGTGTGGACCATGACAGTGATTCCATGAATAATAATAACAACAATAACCAAGTGTTAATGGATGGACAGGAGCTGTCACACAGGTTTACTGCTGAGGAGCAGGTAAACTGTCAACAGACTCCCGTGCAGACAAACACAAAGGATACTGAAGCGGCCTGTGGCGTTACATACGAAGATAGCGCTGAGATGGACGCTCAGATGGACACAGACATTGAGAGGATAGAATGCGAGTCAGTCAATGATAGAGAACGATGGTCTAAAGATGTCCAGGACAAAGGTGAATTCACATGTTCAAGACTCCTTTTCTTGTTTTTTCTTTTTTTTTCTTTTTCTTTTTTGGATTAGAGCATATTTAAACCTCAGTGTTCTTTGTTGCAGATAAGCCACTGAAGAAACGGAAGCAAGATTCATTCCCACAGGAACCTGGAGTCGACGCGAGCGACGGACATGCTGTACAAGGCAACAACACGGATGCTAAGACAACGCCCAAGAAGAAAGCTCCCACCAGCAACTGCAACAGTCGACCTGCCCTGATGGTCAGCATTGACCTCCAACAAGCTGGACGAGTGATCGGACAACCTCTGGTCGTCCTGGAAGCGCAGAATCTGTGTGAGGGCAACTTACAACACTTCAATTCCAAGCCTGATTCCAAAGGAGATAAAGTTGGTGACAACAAACCTGACATCAACAAGCACCACGCTGACAGTCCAAGAAAGCCCCGGTTGGACGGGCCGCTGGAAATCCCTAAACGGACGCAGGAAAATCAACGGGAATTCAAACACAGACACGACGGAAAAATTGGCACAAGTAATGGACAGGCTGATGAGAAACGGCTGGACGCCCCGCCGAAAGAACAGTCTTCGGAGTTTTGCAACGAGGAAGAAAATAATCTCAATGGTCAGAAAGCCCACGTCAGCCATCCTGAGAGTCCGAAGTCCACCAACAGGATGGAGCAAAACGCCAGACATGTAGAACAGAAAGTCAAGGAAAGAGAGAAGAGCAAGGAAACCGTCAGACAAAAAGACAAAGACAAAATTAGAGATACTGAAAAGGTTAAAGAGAGGGACGAAGAAACGAAAAAAGAGTCGGTCACAGATAAAGGCAAAAACAGAGACAAAGACCAAGATAGAGAAAAGGAAAAAAACAGAAAAAACAGAGACAAAGACCAAGAGACAAAGACCAAGATAGAGAAAAGGAAAAAAACAGAGACAAAGACCAAGATAGAGAAAAGGAAAAAAACAGAGACAGAAACAAGGGAGAGGAACATGACAAACCCAGAGAAAAGACAAAAGTAAGAGAAAAAGACAGAAATAAAAATAAAGACGGAGACCTGGACCAAGACAAAGAAAAGACAAAAGTTAGAGACAAAGATAAAAATAGAAGTAAAGACGGAGACAAAGAGCAAAATAGGGAAAAGACAAAAGTAAAAAACAAAGAGAGAAACAGAAATGCAGATGGAGACGTGGACCAAGATAGGGAAAAGACAAAAGTAAGAGACAAGGACAGAAATAAAAACAAGGATGAAGACACAGAGCAGGACAGGGAAAAGTTAAAAGTTAGAGAAAAACATCTGGACAGAAATAAAGATGGAGACACAGACCCAGCAGAGGAAAAGTCAAAAGTCAGAGACAAAGATAGAAATAAAGATGGAGGTATGGAGCGAGTTAGGGAAAAGGAAAAGGACAAATTAAAAATCAGAAACAGAGATAAAGAGCGAGAAAGGGAACCAGAAAAGGATCTAAATAAAGATAGAGACAAAAACAGAGTTAAAGACAGAGAGGGACAAAGAGACAGGGAAAAGGAAAAAGGCAAAGACAGAAACAAAGACAGAGATAAAGACACAGACATGGAGAAACTTCAGGATAAAGTAAGGGATCGGGATAAAATCAAGGACAAAGAAAGGGACAGGGAACGAAAACATAAAACTCCGTCGGTGAAAAACTGCCACAACAACTCTCCTGAGCACCAAACGAAATCCGACAGCCCGAGAGGGAAGCCAGACGAGACCAGACGAACGGACCTTAATGGTAATCAGAAGACGGACAAATCCGGCCTCCCGAGTCCCCAGAGCAAAAAACAGAAGAAAGGCAGCGAAGGCGGCGCTCACTGTCAAGCCGGCAACAAACAGCAGACCTCAGAGATGAAAACCAGCGAGTTTCCGTCATACCTGTTCGGCGGAAAGACCAGCAGTTTGAAGAACTTTGTGATTCCCAAAAAGAAACGCGATGGGTCGGACAAGGACCCGTTGCCCCCAGGCCCCGTGCCGCAGGTGTGGGTCGAGCCTTGTGTCAAACTGGAGCGAGTGTCTCTGTTGAAGAACATCTGTAAAGTAGCCCAGCCTGTTGTCGTGCTCAAGCGGCTCAGCGTGGACGAGGTCAAGATTATAATCAAGGAGAGCAGGAATCAACACAGGTCCAAATCTGGCAGTTGGTCAAGTCGAGGTAAGACGTTGTCCTGCTGGATGAACTGTATGTGTTTTCAATACCTAATGAAACTTTAGGGAGAAAAATAGTGTCTGTCAGAACTGAGTTCTTGGCACTTGTAACAAATGAAGATGCAGATAGAACTTTCACAGAATTGTTATTTATTGTTAATATTAATGATGAGCTGCATTTTAAAAAAAACAGGAGGTAAACTTCTGCTAAAGGCTAAATGTCTGAGTTCCAGATATGAGAACTGGGATTTGTTTGCCATTTTACTGCCATGGTTCAGGCAGAGTTTCCTGAGAAAAAAAGATCTTTTCAATGGCAAACTGTACCTTCACTCGAGGTGTTGAAGTGGGCAACGGAAACCTTTGTTCTCAACTGCTGAAAGGAGTTGAGCATCAAAACCTTCTCTCTCATTTTTGCTGCTCTCACGCTGTCGTTGAAGTAGTTCTGCCAAAGACGACTCCAGCACTGTGTTGTCACCTTTAGTTTCGTTTTTTTAAGGAGTCTGCGTTAAAATACGAACTTTAGGGGTGTGTATTGGGTGTGCAATCATGCGATATAATACGTATCATGATACAGGGGGCAACGATACAGTATATTGCGATACAATGTGATACTGTAGACACGATCATGTATTGAGTTCTTTTTAAAGAATTTAGTTGTAGGAAAACTGTCGGCGTAGTAAACACACAATGTTGTTCCATCTTAACATCTGTTTATTAAAATTGGAACAGAATATTGAAAAGTTAATACAGTGCTGTAGAACATCAATACTGTATCGTGAAACCAAGTATCACAATATTTCAGCTTATCGATATTTTCTTTCGCCCCTAACTAACATACAGCTGACGCTCTGCGACGTCCCAGTATCAGATACGGACCTAGCAACTTAGTCCATATTGTAACAGATGTCCAATCTTAATGCGATAGTGCTCTCGATATTTTATTCCCTCGTCTCCAGCAGGTGGCAGCTTTACTGAACAGTACCAGTGTTTGTAATATGAGCAGCCAAAATGTAGAAAAACCAGGTCGTGAAGGTTCACCATGTAAAGATATTTATCTGAACATAATGTTTGTTCTGCCACAGACTACTGTTCCGAACACTTGATTCGTGTAATTGAATTTGGTCGACTCTCAAATACTGTTTACTTCACAGATGCAGCGAACCACGAGAACGCCAACAAGCGACGACACAGTGAGATCAGTAAGAAACCCAAGTACATCGAGGAAGACTCAGATGAGGACGTTATTGAAGATGACGAAGATGATGATGATGATGAGGACTCTGATCATAAATGTGAGTTATGCAAAAAAAAAGTTAACCTTTCACCTGCTGTTATATATGGGTTGGTGAAAGGGCTGGCTACGTTGTTCTTGTGAATTAATTATCTCCCCTTTTCTCGACCAGCCTCAAAGAAACGGTTCAAGAAAGACCATGGCAGGACGTGGAAGCACGAAGAGAAGAAACGTTCAGGAGAGCAACGTCGAGGACGAGTCGTTCAGAATGTTCGCCGAGGCTCTGGTAGCCGCCAACGTGACTGGAACTCCGATGAATCCGAGGAAGATTCGCCGCCACCAAGCCTTAATGATGGTGACTTGTCTTTTTTTCTTCTTTTTTTTTGCAAATACATTGAGAAAATACACAAAAGACAGATGGTCATAAAAGTTGTTTTCATATTTGATTAATATCTTGTTGTTTGCCTTTGTGTTCAGTGGCCAAAAAATTGAAGAAAAGGGAAAAACAAAAAATCAGGAAGTCATACGAAGCCAAGATGTCACTTGAAGGTATGTTTTTTATTAGTCTTTAGCATTTGCACTTTTACAAACACTGAGTAAAATCACTTGTCAATAACTTGGAATGTTTTTTATGTTACAGAAATGTTGGACTCCTCAACATTCAAGAAATTTACTGCCAGAGTGGATCATATTCTAGAAAACCTCGAGGACGTGGATCCTACTGCCATAGGTAAACACCTTCCATCAGTTTCCACGTCTGTGACGTTGACCATCAGTATATTAACCACGTTCACTCACACAGATGATGATGATGAGATACCTCAAGAGTTCCTGCTTGGAAAGCACCAGCTGAGTGAACTCGGCAGCGACTCTTTGAAGATTAAAGACATGGGCATCTTCAATAAGGTAGAAAAAGTCCATTCATACTCACTGTGACGTTCAACTGCTGTTATTTTGTGACACTAAAAATTGTTGTGTTTGTGTAAATCAACAGTTTTCATCTAGTAAACTGGTGAAAATTCTCAATATTCTTGAGATGAACATTCGGGACAGCGTCAAACTTACCACCATGATGAACCACGTAAGAACACAACATGGACATCCTCTGTTTTTATCTTACAGTTTAAATGAAGTTTAACGAGGTTCTTATTAATTAATTATTTTTTTTTTTTTTAGGAGGATAATTCCATGGACGAGGAGCGGTTGTGGCGCGACCTCATCATGGAGCGGGTGACCAAGTCGGCTGACGCCTGTCTGACTGCGCTCAACATCATGACCTCTCCACACATGCCCAAAGCTGTGTACATCGAGGATGTGATCGAGAGGGTGTTGCAGTTCACCAAGTTCCACCTTCTGAACTCTCTGTACCCTCAGTACGACCCGGCCTACAGACTGGATCCTCATGGAGGTAAGGACTGTCATCTTCTCCTACCATCTGTTCTTTCTTTCTTTTTTTTTTTTTTTTTGCCCCTAAAAATATTCAATAATACTGGATTTTTTAAGCAGTAGTTCCATATTTTAAAGAGAAATTCAGTGTAGTAAACACACAATGCTGTTCCATCTGAACATCAGGTTAAGTTGAAACAGATGTATATGTATATGGAATCACTAGAGAAAAAATAAATGCATAAATGAACCAATGCTATTTGCAGGTTAATTGTTAAGAGGAAAAAATAATAAATACAGTTCTGTATAATCAGATATCAACCTCCATATTGTAACAGATGTTCGATCTTAATGTGAGATTCCTACTCTCGATATGTTTAATTCCCTTCTCTCCAGTAGGTGGCAGCTTTACTGAACACAACCACCATTTGTAATATTCAAAGTCTCAAACACATTTTCACTAATAAGCATAAACATTTACCATTTCAAAACTCAAGTTATTTTTTTTATAATAATTGTATCCATAGTTTTCTTGATATCGTTGAAGATGTTTGATTTAGTAACCATTATTTTCCCATCTGGATTGGAATAATCTGTTAGAGGGAAAAAAACTGAAAAGTAAAGTAAACATCTTCCTGCTTGGTTTCTTCACTGTGCTTTAGGTTGAACTCATAATACACACTCCATGTCACGCCGTTTCCCACAAAGCTGTGCCACTGATGTAACACTGTCTTTCAGTTCTTTACATATAAATTGAACCTCCACACAGAGAACTATCAATGACCATCTCACCCTTGTACCAGACTGTAAAAAAATGGTATTGAAACAATCCTATTCCTAATAATTAAGTGTTTATTTCTCCTACTCTCCTCAGGTGGCGCTCATTCTTCAAAGTCCAAGAGAGCCAAGAGTTCAGGCCACAAACAGAAGGTGGTGGTGTCGCTCTACAACAAGGTGTGTGAGATCGTCAGCAACATGTCGGAGCTGCTGGAGATTCAGCTGATGACGGACACCACTATCCTCCAGGTGAGACTCGCTCAACACCTCAGCTGGAAGTTGAGCGTGTGACGGTTTTATTTAACCTTCAAGCCGTTTCTGCCTCCTTGTCTTTTAGGTGTCCACGCTGGGCATCACGCCGTTTTTTGTGGAAAATGTCCGTGAGCTGCAGCTCTGTGCCATCACACTCGTGACTGCGGTAAGTGTGCCCGTGGCGTGCTTCACCTGTGTGTCCGGCGTGTCCCACCAGTTCACTCTGTCATTGAATTCTGTGATATTGACGTATATGTTTGTGTTGCCTGGTTTCACCTCTCCTCAGGTCTTTTCTCGCTACGAGAAGCACCGGCAGCTCATCCTCGAAGAAGTTTTCACCTCACTCGCTCGTCTTCCCACCAGCAAACGCACCCTCAGGAATTTTAGGTAAAGCAAATACGGAGGGAATACTTTTTAATTGCTCCTCTCCCCCTGTGTGCTAATCAGGAGTGCTAAGTACGCATTTGTCTCATTGCTCGTTAGACTGAACAGCAGCGATTCAGGCGAAGAGCACGTCTACATCCAGATGGTCACCGCTCTGGTCCTTCAGCTCATCCAGTGTGTGGTCCAACTTCCCTCTGAGAGAAGAGAAGAGGAGGACGAACCAAAGAAGAAGGTAAGGAGGATTGATCGACACTGTTGTTTCCTGAACTTCATAAAAAAAATTTTATCTAGAATTCAACAAGTTGTGTCACACATGCTGCTCCCAGGTGGATAAAGACGCCCTGATCACAAACACTTATGAAACAGCCATGAGGACAGCACAGAACTTCTTATCAGTTTTCCTCAAAAAGTGAGTCTGTGTTGCTTCTTTCGCTTCACCTGGATTTTTACCAGATCTTTTTCTTTTTCTTAAACAGTCTTTATTGAAATTTCCAATATACATCAATATCTCTTTATACAGTTGAAGTAACAAAAGGTAGTAAGTCCAAAAATGAAAACAACAAAAGAAAAACCCAAAACAGTAACTCCCATAAAAAAGAAAAACAACCCCAACACCTAGCCTTGACCAAGATATACAAGGAAAACCAGATCGTATACATACATATATGTATGTATGTATGTATGTATATATATATGTCTATATGTGTACATACTGTATATGTATACCTATATAGATACATGGGTATATATGTATAAATGTATGTATATATTTATTTATATATGTATGTATATATTATAGACCTACATTCTCACACAAACCACATCCATCCAATTATATACACATTTACTTTTACATAAATACATCCATATACATGTACAGTTCACAATCACAAGAATAACAACATATACAGATTAAAAGATACATTACTTATATATAAAATACTAACATGTTCAAACTAAATAAAGAAATAAATGAATGAAAAAAAAAAGGTTATACCAGATCTAACCCTAATATTGTGTTTCATTTACACAGGTGCGGTAGTAAGCAGGGAGAGGACGACTACAGGCCTTTGTTTGAGAACTTTGTCCATGACCTGCTCTCTACGATCAACAGGCCCGAGTGGCCGGCAGCAGAACTACTGCTGAGTTTACTGGGGCGTCTGTTGGTCAGTGCTGTCATCCACACGTGTTCAGTAAAAAAAAAAAAAAGCTGCTGCTCATGTTGTATTGTGTTTTTGATATAATTATTTTTTCCCTTTCACCTTTTCTTCTTCCAGGTGCATCAGTTCAGTAACAAGCAGACAGAGATGGCTCTCAGGGTGGCATCCCTGGACTACCTGGGCACCGTCGCCTCCCGCCTGAGGAAGGATGCAGTGGAAAGCAAACTGGACCACAAAGCTATTGACCACATCCTGAGAGATGTAAACAAGCATATATATAAATATACTGTAAAACTGGTTGTTGTTTTATGTGTTTTGATACGTTGTTGGTGAACTTTTTGATTTGAATGATTTGTTTCTCCATGTTTTTCAGAGCGAAGGGAGTGACGAGATCCAGCAACTTCAGAAGAGTTTGCTCGATTATCTGGACGAGAACAAAGACATAGACACATCTCTAGCAGTGAGTTTTATTTTATTTTTTTCAATTTTTATAATAGTTAATAATCTCAAAAGCAGTTTTTACCTCAAGTAAATTCAATTTACTTGAGGTGAGTCCAGTTTTTTTTTTTTTTTACATTTTAATCTCAAAAGCATTTGCTTTTGAGATTATTATAATGACCTGGATGACTGAGAATATCCACAAGTAAGTTAATAAATAGTTTCTAAGAAAACTTAAGCTCTCAAAGCTTAAATATGATTACATTGTTTTGCTTCACTACCTGTTTTGCAATACAGTAGTGACAGCATAGAGGAAGACTGGACTTTTCAGCAGGCAATTATGTGACGGATTCCAATTATTTGAATGAGTCAAAAATAAAACTGTTATTGATGTGGACTTATCTAGATTAATCATGATTGATCCTGATTACCTACATATTAACTACTATAACCATACAGTAATTGATCAAATAATAATTCGGTTTCTCTTTTCACCCAGTTTGCAAAGAAGTTTTACCTCGCCCAGTGGTTCAGAGATGCAACAAGTGAAGCAGAGAAGGCCATGAAGTCTCAGAATGAGAGCGACGACTTCAAAAGCCACCTTTACTCTAAAGAACCCGACTCAACAGATGAGATTGTACAGAGAACAGAGGCGAGAAAGAAATTCCTTTTCAAGGTCATGAGGACGTCATCGTCACATTCCAGTTCTCAGAGGTACGCCAAACGTTGTTGCGCGAGTTTGCGTTTAATTTGCTCTGTTGTCAACCAGTACGTTGATGTTTTCCTGTCCTTCAGGTCAAACCCAATAGACTACGAGGACTCCTGTCTGATTGTCAGATATCTGGCCTCCATGAGGCCGTTTGCACAGAGCTTTGATATTTATTTATCACAGGTGAGAGAGTTTATTTTTAAATCAGTGTTTGTGTTTGTAATATTTTTTTATTTATTTATTATGCTACCCAGGGGTTAACGTCTTTCTTTTTTCCACCTCACGTAGATTCTAAGAGTCCTGGGTGAGAGTGCGATCGCTGTTAGGACCAAAGCTATGAAGTGTTTGTCAGAAGTAGTGGCTGTAGATCCAAGTATTCTGGCCCGGGTAAGATATGCTGCACTGACTGCTGCAGGTTTTTTAACATACGTAACATAAACATTTTGTTTTAAACTTCATTGTTATGAGAAACTGGTTCTTATCTGCTTTTTGCGTTTCAGCTGGACATGCAGCGAGGAGTTCACTGTCGTCTAATGGATAATTCTACCAGCGTACGAGAGGCGGCCGTGGAGCTTCTGGGCCGTTTTGTTCTAAGTCGACCTCAGCTCATAGAGCAGTATTACGACATGCTCGTTGAGAGGATATTGGTAATTGTTTGGTTTTTTTTTTTCAAATTACTTGGGTTATGTGTAGTCTTAGATTTTTCTGGATGACACTGTAAGATTCTTGACAAGAAGTAAGTGTGAATATTTATCATTTGGCATCGAGGAATTGAAGAAAGGCAGATCATCTTCAACCGTTTTTTTCTTTTGTAGTTTTTTAATAGCCATCTGCTGACATCTAGTGGAAGAGTATTTAATTATTCTGCCTATCACTGTCCTATACAAATACATTATTTGTAGTAAATTAATTATGATATTCAGTCCAAGTAATTAAAATTAAATAATTTTCCAATAGTTAGAAATCAGTGAAATAGTAAGTAGTTCAGCCTGATACTGTCTGTGTACTGTTGAGTACTTGGAGAGTCGTTATAGTACAACACAGCAGGTATTCACACCCAGAATCATTGACAGGAAGTTGTATTCACCTGGATTGAGGTGTGAATGGAGCGTTATGTGGGCCACCTGAATTACTCATGGTGTGAATAGCGAGGAGAGGTGGTGGTGGAATGGAGCGTTATGTGGGCCACCTGAAATACTCATGGTGTGAATAGCGAGGGGAGGTGGGGGTGGGGGGGTTGTTACCATCAGCTAATTGTGTAAATCTTTACCAAAGACGACACTTCACATTAGTTGCACTGAGCATTGTTTCTGTCCTCCTCATCACACAGGACACAGGCATCAGTGTGAGGAAACGGGTCATCAAGATCCTGAGAGATATCTGCCTGGAGCAGCCGGACTTCCACAAAATCACAGAGATGTGTGTCAAGATGATCCGAAGGGTCAACGACGAGGAGGGGATAAAGGTGTGTGTTCATTCGTTGTTGCCTAATGTCCCTCTTTGTTTTTGTTTTTTCACACACATTAACAAGACTTGATTTGTCTGTTTTCGCACAGAAACTGGTGAATGAGACATTTCAGAAACTGTGGTTTACGCCGACACCCGGCCACGACAAAGACGCTATGACCAGAAAGATTCTGAACATCACAGACGTGGTGCGTTTTTGTGCAGCTCATGAAAACTGCAGCCGAATCTGATATGAGGAAAGTCTGACTTAGGTTAACGTGTTCTGTGATGTGTCCCCCCACCCCCCAGGTGTCAGCGTGCAGAGATTCAGGCTACGACTGGTTCGAGCAGCTTCTTCAAAATGTGAGTATATTGATGAATGACAAATGGCAGCAGTGTTCATTTTCACACGTGTGTTTTCTGACCTCTGTGTGTGTTGACTGTGTTGTAGCTGTTGAAGTCGGAGGAGAACGCCTCCTACAAACCTGCTAAAAAGGCCTGCATTCAGCTGGTGGACAACCTGGTGGAGCACATACTGAAATATGAAGAGTCCATAGCAGGTAACGACGCCCGTGCAGTGCGATCTTCTACATCTCTACTGACAAACATCTGCGTGGCTACACTGTCACCTGTTTGCTGTTTTTTTTTTTTCAGACTGTGAAGAAAAAGGCGTGAACTCTGATCGTCTGGTGGCGTGCATCACCACTCTCTACCTGTTCACCAAAATCAAAGCACAGCTGATGGTCAAACACGCCATGACAATGCAGCCGTACCTGACCACGAAGTGCAATGTAAATTCCACTTTCTTCTCCAGTATAAAAAAACCATATTGCGTCACTGTACTTTTCAACAGGGTGAAATATTTTAAACTGACGTTCAGACTCACTGCTAGTTGGTGGTTATTTTTATTGACACTGAAAGGGACATTTAAATCTATTTTAAATATTTTTTTACACCTGTTTACTGTCTCTTTAGTGTTGAGTCTGTAGAGAATTACATTTTTTAAATCTGAGTACACGACAAAAACACTTTGTTAAGATAGGTCGGTACAATTCGTTCTAAATCCCAACCTGGAGGACGCTCCCACAACTCCCTAAATTTACTGTATATAGACATTTATTAATTAATTAAAATGTCAACTTTTGATTTAAAATTTACAAAGGTTAAAATGTCAACTTTTGATTTAAAATTGACAAAGGAAAACACTTAAAAAAAAAAAAACACGTCACTTTTTTTTTTAATCTCGCACACCCTCTAGTGGCAGCTCGGGTGCACATCTAAGAGTCGTATTTTTTTTTTCTTCCCTTTGTCTTTTCAGACTCAGAATGACTTATTGGTCATTTGCAACGTGGCCAAGATTTTGGAGCTGGTCGTGCCACTGATGGATAGTCCAAGTGAGACCTTCCTCAACACCATAGAAGAAGACCTGATGAAGCTCATTATCAAATATGGCATGATGGTCAGTGGCGTTCACTGCCTCAGTTCTTTTTTTGTTTATTGTTGTAAATATCATAAATATTTACGATATTTGATTGTTCTTTCTTCAGGTTGTACAACACTGTGTGAGCTGCCTTGGTGCTGTTGTCAACAAAGTGACACACAACTACAAATTTGTCTGGGCGTGTTTCAACCGCTTCTATGGTGAGTTCTAAACCCGTTCATCCAATTGTTTTATTCACATTTATTTATATACATATATATATATGTGTGTGTGTGTGTGTGTATATATATGTGTGTGTATATATGTATATGTGTGTTTATGTATGTATGTATATATGTGTATATATGTATATATGTGTATAAATGTTTATATATTTATATATATATATACTGTATATATATGTATATATTTATACATACATATATATGTATATATATGTATATATTTGAAGATGCCGTTTTTAATTTTAGCTGAAACTCGAACATCATCAGACATTTCTGTTTAATGTTTCGTTTATAAGGAGCACTTGCCAAACTGAAGACCCAGCACCATGAAGACCCCAGCAGCTCCACCCTGGTCAACAACAAGCCCACTCTCCTGCGATCACTCTTCACTGTGGGAGCTCTCTGTCGACATTTTGACTTTGACCTGGAGGATTTCAAGGGTTCTACGAAGGTAAAAGAAAAACAACAAAAAAATCAGGAATCTGTCAAAATCCCCCACATGGATATTTTTATCTGTACAAACCACTGTATGAGTTGCTGCCACCTAGTGACTGGAGGCTTGTCATCATTCAAGCGTTACAGCAGTGGGTAAACCGATGTCCAGTGTGCTGATATCTTCTTGTGTGATTTAGATCGTCATCAAAGACAAAGTGTTGGATCTGCTGCTGTACTTCACCACACATGAAGATGAAGAGGTCCAGAACAAGGCCATCATAGGCCTAGGTATAATCCAACTCCATCTGACATCAGACCACGTGACACTGACGCTGTATTTTATCTTTACTAATAAATACGTTTTCAATCCCGTTCCACAGGTTTCCAGTTCATCATGCACCCGGAGCTCATGTTCGTGCAGGATGTGAAGGTGTTGTACAACACCATGCTGTCGGATGAAAGCACTTTGGTCAGTCTGAAGATCCAGGTGTTGAAAAACCTGCAGACCTACCTGCAGGACGAGGACACGCGAATGCAGACGGCAGATCGTGAATGTGAGGTTTTTTTTTTTTCCAAATCCGCGTTGTTCTGTTTCATCCGTGACCTCATTGTGTGTGTGTGTGTGTGTGGGAATAATGAATAATGATTGGACGTCCAGTGAGGATCAGGCTGACGCTGCTGTGTTTCTTTAGGGAAGGAAAAAGCCAAGCAGGAGGATCTGAAGGAGATGGGAGACGTCTCCTCGGGCATGAGCAGTTCCATAATGCAGATTTATCTGAAGCAGGTGTTGGAGTCCTTCTTCCACTCCCAGTCCACGGTTCGGCACTTTGCGTTGAGTGTCATAACACTGACTCTGAGCCAGGGCCTCATTCATCCTGTACAGGTGAGTTCACACTCCAGCCTTCTGTGAGGACAACAGCTTGGAAGTCTGGATCTAAATGAGTGATGGATAATTATCTGGTACTAATTAATGACAGATGACTGATGTGATAACTAATCATTTTCAACTGTTCAACCGTAACTTATGTTGATGTTGAAGTGAAGTGTAGCACTGACCAGACTGAGTTTGAAAGTGAAAAGTGAAACTCTTCCTTAACCACCAAGCATTTCTAACAGAGAAGTCACTTCAGCCGTAAAAGTTGTCCAAAAGCCAAATTAGTTGTTGAGATGTTGAGTTCTTGACCACAGAACATGCTGGTCATCCAGTGCCACACAGAATCTGAGGTTTCATTCATTCTTGTCTCTTTGGCTTTTTTCACTTCCTCAGGTGAACTAAATGAAAACATCCCAGTAATCTTTTTGTTAGCCTCCATGCTAGCTGTTGCCGCTGCTGCTCCGGCTCTGACTCAGCCAGTGCAGCCTCTGATGATTTCATGAAGTCCTCCTGATAAGGAACATATTTATGAATGGTCTGTGAATGTGCTTTTTCTTTCAGTGTGTGCCCTACTTGATCGCCATGGGAACAGACCCAGAACCGACCATGAAGAACAAGGCTGATCAACAGCTGGTGGAGATTGATAAGAAATATTCAGGATTCATTCATGTGAGTCTTTTGCTGGAGGAAAATGAATATATGTACTTCAAAAAATACTCATTCACTTTACTCACAGATGGACGGAATTACTACGTTTCAGTAGCAATGTTTTTCTTTTTGGAGGTTAATTTTGACACTTCGCTGTCGTCGTCTTAGAACGTGTCTTATTTGTGTCCTCTGGTATGTCGCCAAAATGTGTCCTTCGAGTTCTTTACATTGAGACCAATAACTTTGGGCAGTTTTATTTTGATGTGATGAAGACGACGAGCTCCCGTCTTTTCAGACTCTCCTGTGTCTGATGTTGAAAAAGTTTTCTGTTTTTGTGATTGCCACAGATGAAGGCAGTGGCGGGACTGAAGATGTCCTACCAAGTCCAACAAGCCATCCACGGGTCCAAGAACAAAGTGATCCGCGGTTTTCGACACGACGACACGGACACCGCTCTCTGTTCACACCTGTACAGCCTGGTCCGAGGGAACAGACAACACCGGAGAGCTTTCCTCCTCTCGCTCCTCAGCCTATTTGATGACAGCTCTGTGAGTTGTCTCTTCGTCCACTTTTGTCTCCCCCAGCAAATGGAAATCATTTTTCACAGCTGTTCCACATCTTGTTGTTTATATTAAGGATGAATATTTTTTTTTTCCCCCACACAGAAAACTGAGGTGACAATGCTGCTTTTCATAGCAGACAACTTTGCCTGCTTTCCCTATCAGACCCAGGAGGAGCCGCTGTTCATCATGCACCACATAGACATTGCGCTCTCAGTCTCTGGTAGCAACCTTCTCCAGTCTTTCAAGGAGGTGAGGAACATTGTTACACTGGTGGATGTTTAGATTTGTTTTTGTTTTTTGTTTGTTTCCATCTGATTTAATGTCATTCCTTCGCAGTCATTACTGAAGGAGCCGGTACGGCAGGAAAAAAGGATGAAGATCGAGAAGAAGAGGAAGAAGAAGAAAAAGAAGGAGAAGAAGAAAAAGAAGAAACAGTCGCACAGGAAGAAATACAGCTCTGACGACGAAGACGAAAGTGGCGAGGAGGAGGAGGATGAAGAAAAGAGCAGCAGCAGCTCCAGTAGCAGCAGCAGCAGCAGCGATGAGGATGACGAGGAGGAGGAGGAAGTAACGGTTCACAAGCGAAAGAAGCCATCGAACTCTGATTCCGACCTGGATGAAGAGGACGCCCTGCTGGATCGTCTGCCCGAGAACCCGACCCCGCTGCTGGACTTTGCCAGTGCTTCTCAAGGGATTCTGCTGCTGCTGGTGCTCAAACAACATCTGAAGAATCTGTACGGCTTCTCAGACGGGTATGTAGACACCACAGTCCTCTTTGGTTCCAGGTGTTCATGCTGCCAAACGAGTTCAGCTAACTTTGTTTGTTTGTTTGTGTTTCAGCAAAATCCAAAAGTATTCTCCGACCGAGTCCGCTAAGGTGTACGACAAAACTGTGAACAGGAAGTCCAAGGTCCACTTCAACCCTCATCAGACTCTCGACTATGTAAAGAATGGTCTTGTCAACAAGGATCTTAGTTATGAGACCAAGAGGAACATTGTGAAACAGTATCTGGATGTAAGCACTCTGTCGCTCCTTCATTCGTTCATTTATGTCACAGCTTCATGACAACCAGTACAATCAATACATGAGTGAATTTGTTGCGTGGATCATGTGATGAAAGAGTCAATCGCTCTGTTTGCCAAACCAACCGATGCTGTGTCTCTGTCAGTTCAAGGTACTTATGATGCACCTGGATCGCGACGAAGAGGATGAGCAAGGTGAAGCCAGTGCCAACGCTAAGAACAAGGCCATCAGTTCTCTGCTGAAGGGTCCAAAGTCCCAGAACCACCATCACAATAATCACAGTGCTCCAGTGGAGTCAGATGATGAGGAGAGCGAGGATGAAGATCAGCCGTCTGTAAGATCTCTCTCTTTTTTTTTTTTAAAGCATCAGTTTTCCATCGTATTATTAGTTTTAGCGGTGATATTAATAATATTACTGTAATTAATTATTCAAAATTAAAAGAAATAAGACTAAAATGTTATTCATTAATTAATGTACTATTTGGCTAGAAATAATCAATTAATTACAATTAACAGGTTAAAGTTCCATACCTAATTATTACAAAGTTATACGAGATGTTTACACTTATACATATATATATATAAAAATCTCAAATCTTGAATGTTCATAAGTTACAATGTGGAAATGAGCATTTCTGCCATTTTCTTTCAATAGCACAAACCAAGGAAAGGAAAGGATTCCGCTGAGAATTTGGGTCAGACGGGCGAAACAGTGGGTGCCATGGACATCGTCGCCACCTACTGCCCCAAGTACAAGGACAGACCACAGATCGCCCAGGTCGTCCAGAAGAGCAAAGGCGGCTACAGCGTACACTGGATGACCGGATCTTACTCCGGGCCCTGGACTGTGGCGAAGAAGCGGGACGGACGGAAAAAGGTGCCTTGGGTCGAAGCCATCAAGGAGTCGGACATTATTTATAAGAAAATCTCATTGAACAGTGGACAGAAGCTTTCAAACAAAGTGGTACAGAAGTTACGGGCTCTATACGCTGCTAAGGAGGAAAGGAGTTAATAGACTGAAACCTTTGTGGATACCATATGTTACAAATGAGTAAAAGAAAGAGAGAGGAAAAAAAGGCCTCTGTAGATTTAAGATGCTGGAGAAAGAGGAGTCTGTTTGAACACAGACACGGTAAAAATGATCGCAAGAAGGAAATGTTAGGAAAACATTGTTTGGGAGTTCCTTCGCTGTTGTGCAGCAAACTTGGTTGTTTGGTTTTTACTCCCACTGTATCATAGTTTAACGTTTAACAAAACACATGTTTATATCTGAACATACTTCTGTAAAAAAAAAAAAAATACAAAGTGAATGTTGGAAATTAGTGTATTGATGATGTTCTTAATAAAGTGTTTTTGGAGTTTCAACTAGCACCAGATGGATTTATTCACAAGAGTTGAGTTCCAACGACATTCACTTTCTTCTTTAAACATTTCACCCTGTTTAGCCACACTGTGTACAAACCTTTGATATGATTTATTTATGTTAAGAGCAGTGCAGTATCTGTGCCTGTATGCAGGGGAACGTTTTGTTCTTTTTAATATAGATTTTGATGTTATAGAACAAAGAAACAGTGAGTCCCCACTCTTTCAGTGAAACAAATACTGCAATAAAAGTTTCTTATGTCCTTGGTACTTGTTGGCTTTGTTTTGTTTACTCTCCTGTGATTGGTACCATTGCAGGAATGTCAACGTTAATGGAAGGCGGCACCTGTACTTTTGGTCTCTACGAAGCTTTAAAATTAAAGGAACACACTGTGAAAAACCATTTAATATCTTAAAACATAAATCACCCGACTAACTTGATATTTTATGGTTTGGTTCATTCAAGACAAAGAACATCCTGTAAATGTTACATTATTAAAAATAATACCTTAGCTTGGTGTATTTTTTTGTCTATCTTGTATACAAATACAAATTATTTAAAATTTTAAATATATCATAATTATTTACCTTTCAATTTAAGTGTTAATAAAATCGCACTTTCTCTCGAAACAACTACACGTAAGGATTTGACTGTAAACGATCGACAATATCAAGTAAATCCGGCAGGTGGCAGCGTTGCAACACAACCAGTGACAGTATGCTATGTTTGAAATCAAAGAAAACGAAGAAGACGTTGTGCGCGTGCGCGGTCATTTGTACATGAGGTTGGCGGGTTGCAAGTTTTCCATGTTACTAATACGTTAATTTTAAATATACTACTCTGCCGTTGGACATAAAAACCTCGCATACAGATCACTTGGGAGAACGCGAGGTACCTCCTGTCAGGTAAACTAAACGCTTTAATTTTAAAGACTATTTTTCACTCACTTAGCATTTAGCTTGTGGCTAAACAGTATGGTTGTGATGCTAACGGTTTGCTAACTCACCGGTATAACACTGACAGTGTCAAAAGGTCGGCTCAGTAGTCTTAGATTGTGTTCCATTTCTCAGATTTTCTGTCTCCATGTGTACGACAAGTATATGACACTTTAGTCTAACATTATTTATGTGTGTGTGTGTGTGTGTGTGGCTACGGTTGCTCCACAGCCATGCCGTCGAGCGCTGGACCGAGCAGCCCCGCAGCTGCACTTGCCGAGGCACTGGAGAACTCAGCCCAGGTGATAGACAAACACCTGCAGGAGGACCGGTTCTTTCCTGACCTGTCGGAGCTGCTCAGTGTTCCATCACACAGTAAGTCACGGGTGAAAATAACGAGCTGGAGGAAGAAGAGTGATCGGTACCAGTGGATAACGCGAGAAAGTTACCAGAACCAAACCTGCCGCTAAACCGTTAAATATAATAATAAAGAGTTATTTTTCGCTATCGTTTATCGATATATTGTGAGTTCTGTGTGATATGGATATGATGAGGGTGAAGCTACACTTGTCTGTTTGACAGTTAATATATTCTATATTAAATTATGACATGTTTATGATATATCTATTATTCCCTCCACATTTCTTCTGTTTTTATTGGTCAAAGCTGTGATTTCATTTACGACCATACAGGACAACTACAAGTTAGGCAAAAAATATCACTAAACAGTTACTTTATCTAGCACAAAGAAGTGTGGGATCAATAAAATTTGATCTAATCTATAAACAAAATTGACACTTTGTTATTATATGGTAATTATTTTTACATAAAAATCTCAGTTTTTATGAGAGCGTTGCTCTGGTATTTCTTTGTTTGTTTGTTTTTATTTCACTTAAAGATTTGATTTGATCTGAACTATAAATGTGGACACCTGGTACACTATCACTTCTCTCATGGTGTTCACAGATATGCCGTCCCTCTCCGGGGTGTCGGACATGGACTACCCTCTCCAGGGACCAGGTCTATTGAGTGTGCCGAACCTCCCGGAGCTCAACGCCGTTCGCAGAGTTCCCCTTCCTCCTGAGCTGGTGGAGCAGTTCAGTCGTATCCTTGATGTTTTTTTTTGTTTGTTTTTTGATAAAACCAGTTCCTCTGTATCCACTGTCAAAGGTTGACTGTGATAAAACATGAGGTGATTTTTTTTCCACTTAACAGTTTCACAGATATGCAGTGTAACTGCATGATGGGAGTTTTCCCAGAGATTTCTCGTGCGTGGCTGACTATTGACAATGACATCTTCATGTGGAATTATGAGGACGGGTGAGTGTTTTTGACTGGGATTATGATAATCCCTGATTGAAAGTTTTAATCTATTTATGCTCAGATATTGGACTTTTAAACGCCAGATTTAAAAAGAAAAACTTCATGTCGTCTGTTGTGTTGTTTTCAGAGGAGACGTGGCCTACTTTGACGGCCTTATTGAAACCATTCTTGCAGTGGGTCTGGTGAAACCCAAACAGGGTATGAAAAGACGTTTGTTGTCGTGATTTCTTCTTCTTCTTCTTTCATTCAAGGTGTCTGTATGATTGGTCATCATTTTTTTTGTTCCTCAGGGATTTTACAGCCACACATTCACTACCTACTGGTCCTGGCCACCTCAGTGGATGTTGTGATCCTTGGGTTGAGCGTTCCCAAAAGCCAGGCTGGTGAGGATTTTTAATACTTTTAACAGAATGAGCTCCAGACAAATTGACACCAAATCTCTGTTAAATCCCATCACTGACTGAAATGGTCTGTGAACCTCATCAACTGAAATTGTTCTCTTCAATAACAGAAGAGAGAAAAAAGTCACATTTCTCTCCAGAAACACTAGAAAATATACTAATATGTACTATACACTGTGGGAATAGTGAAATATGAAGGTATAAATATATAAAAAAAAATGTAACAAATGGTAACGTTTACGAATAAATTAGGGTTGAGAAGTGACTGTAAACATTTTTAGGACCGTGGTTCAAAAAGAAAAATGTGATGCTAAGGTTTTTTGTACTAACGTATGGTAAAACAACCTGTCTGTGTTGCTGTAGCAGCTGCAAAATAAATATATTTATGAATAAATATTTCATGAAACAACAGTGTTTATAGTATTTAAACAAAACATATATTAACCACATATATGCGACTGTTTCTGGGTCTCATCTTCAGGTTTGAACGACAGCATGTCCGGTGGGCTGCAGCTGCTGCCGGACCCTCTCTTCGCCATCCCCACAGACAACACCTACATCCTCTCCATCACCTCCACAGACCTGGGCCGCATCTTCATGGCAGGGAAGGACGGGTGCCTGTACGAGATAGCCTACCAGGCCGAGGCTGGCTGGCTGAGTCAGCGCTGCCGGAAAATCAACCACTCCAAAAGCTCCTTGTCGTTCCTCGTCCCCTCCGTGCTTCAGTTCTCGTTCTCTGAAGATGGTGAGAAAGAAAAAAACGTTTTCAAACTTGTAGTGGATGTAATTTAAACATCGCGTGTCAACGTTTATGTGTGTGTTTGTTCAACAGATCCCATTGTACAGATTGCTGTAGACAACTCCCGCAACACACTGTTCACACGGTCTGAGAAAGGTGTCCTGCAGGTCTGAGTTTTCATTAAAAAAATCATTTTTATTTCGTTTTTGTTAAGAATATCCAACAGATCCAACATATCGACAGATATTAGCATATGCCTGGGTTTCGCCAAATGACCTGCCTTAAACTTTTTTGGGGGATAAAGGGCAGTATATTAAAGTAAAATTCACTAGGTGGCAGCATTGCAGCTCATTGAATTATTGTCATACTCATACAGTGGTTTGTACAGATAAATAAATAAATATTACCAAGCCGATATCAGTATCTGTTGAAATTGAAATCGGAAATTTAGTGTTTGGACAATATGGGCATTTTGAATATCGGCAAAAAGTTAATATCAGACATCTCTAGTTTTTGTCATGACATAAATGCAGTTTTTGTTGCTGTGGTCATAGATGTTGTTAATACTGTAAATAACCCAAAGTGATAATTCTACAAGGAATAAAAGATATATTAAAAAAAATAGAATGTTAGTATTTTCGCTCAGTACTTGAGATATGCCTTGTTTTATTTCAATGTTTCGTACCTAATATTGCCATCATGTGACCTACAGGTGTATGACCTGGGCACTGACGGACAGGGAATGAGCCGCGTTGCAACTTTATCCCAGAACTCGATCGTTGCAGCTGCTGGAAACATTGCCAGGTATTGCCATGTTTGTAATTTTTATTTTTATTTTATTTATTTTTTAAGTTAAATGTCCACTGTTTAAAACTCTGTGTTTTCCTTCCTGCAGGACCATTGATCGTTCTGTCTTCAAGCCCATCGTCCAGATCTCTGTCATCGACAGATCGGAGTCTTCAGACTGTCACCTGCTCGCTGTCACTCATGCAGGTGGGGGCTACTCCACAGTTACGAGGGTCTCAGTCATTATCGACACTCTGATTAACAACAAGCGTGTTTGTTTCCCCCCCACACACACACACACACACACACGTGTCTGTAGGAGTACGTCTCTACTTCAGCACTACACCGTTTGCCCCGCTACACCAGAAGTACGTGGCAGTTAGACCCAGCCTGCTGGCGTTAATTCATGTTCGTCTGCCACCGGGGTTTTCTGCGTCTTCCACCCTGCAGAAACCAGCGAAGGTCCACAAGGCCCTGCACAGTAAAGGTCCGTTAGACTTCAGTTCAGTGTGTGTACGTGTGAACAGAACCTGTTTGGACAAGAATATCATGGTGTTTTTTTTTTTCATCCTGCAGGTGTTTTACTAATGGCTGCGTCCGAGTCAGAGGACAGTGACATCCTGTGGTGCATCAACCACGACTCCTTTCCCTTTAAGAAGCCCCTGATGGAGACGCAGGTCAGTAAAGGTCATGGTGCAGAGCAGGAAACATGGATGGATGTTTTGAAAATAAAGTAACGATATAAGCCATTTGTTCAACATGTATATTTTCATCTGTACAAACCACTGTATGAGTTACTGCCACCTAGTGACTGGAGGCTTGTTATCATTCAAGTGTTACAGCAGGGGCTTTTAGTGTGCTATATTCCATTGGAAGTCCCTCACAGGGCCCTCTAGGGGTCCCACCCCACTATTTGAGAACACTGGGTTAAGTGCATTTACGCAAAAATCTGCGAATCTCTGCCTCAAGACATTGTCGAGGTGTGAGTGTGCTCTAAAATATGAAGTTGCTTCTGTTGAAGTCGGTTTCATTTTGGATATAGCCTGACGACGCTGTTAAGCCAAACTCGTTATGTAAACGTCCAGTTCAATCATGTTGACACTGCATGACGTCATTACTGTCCATCGCTGTTTTAGAAACAATAATCCTGTCACGGCTCGACTCTGTTTCATTTTGATTGTCCACCGAGGAGGGACAAAAATGCTGGACGCTGCCAACAGCGCCATTACCAAAATGAAGCCAACTTCAGCAGAGATATAGATGTCATGAGGTGTTAAAGTTGAAGGTTTTAACAAGTACAGACGTTCACTGATAAAGCAGGCCAAGTGGGGGCAATAATTAAGGGGTTGTTGCTGCTGCTGATGCTGCTGCTGATGCTGATGCTGATGCCTGATGTGAACAGTGGAAACCCTGAGTCAGAATAAACTGTGTCTTTCTCTCCTCCTGCAGATGATTTCAAATATTGACGGACACTCGTGGGCTCTCTGTGCTCTCAACGATGAAAGGCCGACCAAGATTTTCACTCCGCTCAACAAGGAACTGATCCCCGTCACCGATTCCCCGGTGGTGGTTCAGCA